CCCCTCTGTCAGCCTCAGAAGCCGCTTCTGTGCCCAAAACGTCCCCTGAAATTATGAAGACCGCCACACACCTTCCAAGCAGGCACCCTGATGACAGCTTTAAAAGAGGGCAAACAGCCGGATTTGTGTAGGGAGCAGATGCCTCTCTCCCTCTGGCTCGACTGTATTTCTGTATTTGCTCCCCAACCATCCCAAATTTCTGGTCTCTAAATAAAAATTCAAGCAGGAGCTCTGAGTCTGAGCGGTGCTCCGAGGGCAGGAAACTTTGTGAAGTCTGGGGACATGCACAGGAGCACAGGAGCACACAAAAAAGCACTGCAGGCTTTTCCTAGATGCAGGGAAATTCAAGCTGCGGTGGTTTGGGGGGCTGAGGACAGGGAGGGTGAGCTGGGAAAAGCCTCGAGCAGAAGGATTTCCTCTTTCAGATAAAGAGAAAAGCTGTCAGGAGTTGCAAGGTTCCTCCGAGGGTTTTGTCCCCCCGCGGGACTGCAGTGGATGGGTGCTTGCTAGGTAGCCAAGAGAAAAGCAAGCGAGCAAACCAACCCAGCAGGCCCCAAAACACCACCCCTAAGCCCCCCAGATGATCTAAATCCGCATTTCTTTCCCAGGCACCGACAGAAAACGCGGCCGCCAGACCTACACCAGGTACCAGACCCTGGAGCTGGAGAAGGAGTTCCACTACAACCGCTACCTGACGCGGAGGAGACGCATCGAGATCGCCCACGCCCTGTGTCTCACGGAGAGACAGATCAAAATCTGGTTCCAGAACAGGCGCATGAAGTGGAAAAAAGAAAATAAAACTGCCTGCTGCGGCTCCAACAGCCAGGAAAAACCAGACGCGGAGGACGACGAGGAGGAATGAAAGGGGAGAGAGGTGGATTCAGGAAACGTGGAAACCCACGCGAGAAGAAAAAGGGGGGGGAACACACACAGGAAAAGACTGTATATTAAAATAGATAAATGATAAGTGCATAAATAATTAAAAGCCCTAGGAATGATACATTGTGTTTCCTGACACTGAAAAAAATACTACCTATATTAAAGTCTTTTTTTTTTGTACAATAGAATGACTATCTACCTATCCCATGTGGCTTTAGAGTCAGAATAGACAGATTTTTCTATGTGAGTCTACCTAGAGTACAAGTAATTTGCAATTCTCCGTTTGTATTTCGCGGTGTACCTTTCGGTATGAAGTAACGTGGTCGTGTTTAGCACCTTTAATTTAGATAAAGTGACCCGAAAGTCTGAATGCAAATTATACTTAGCGTCTATAGTTCTGTACATAACACGAATGATTATTGCGCCTTCTCTCTGTACCCTCTGTGGTTCTTTTCTCCTTGCTGTGCTCTTTTGTCAGTGTATTTTTTTACCCGGATTTCTTCCATGTTCAAGTCTCTACGAAAAAAAAAAAGAAAATAAAATTAATTAATATTGTGCTACGTAAAATGTTGTATATCAAAGTAGCAAATTATTTAATGGCGACGCGTTGCTTTGTTTTTTTTTTTCCCCTTGTCTGTGATTATTATTCTTCGAAATAAAAGGAAATCTCCAATAATCTATCATCGCGTTGGGTTCGTTCCTCTTTTTCTTATTAAAAATAACACACGGGCTTTTGGAATTGCCTTTTCCCAGATAAGATAAATATACTAAAAGTTCCTGTTAGATTAATGCATACTTCGATCTATCGTCCCAAACCTCTCTCTCTTTTTTTTTTTTTCAGAAGAGCCAATCCCTTCAAAACTTAGTACCTTTTCAATAGATTTGGCGAATATGTTAAGATATAATGAATATTCGGGGCTCTCGCGGTGCGGACTCGTCTCCTTTCTCTCTCCCCGTCCGCGATTGCGCTGGGGCTACTATTGAGGTAGGTAAGAGCGTAAAGGAGGAAAGCAAAGGGGCCAGAAACAGCCCAAATAGTCTTTCCTCCCCGTGTTTTAATTGTCTTCTGCTTGTAACTAATTTGCAGAAAACCCATCTATTTTGCTATGTCTTTAGTATACACATATATTTTTTTTTTAAGATTCTCCCTCCGCCCTTCGATTACTTTACTGCGGACTGGAACTCTTTCATTAGCGCCAAATAACGTTTAGCATCAAAGCACGCATAAAATAAATTAAAGCAATTAAACGCAGGGAAAAACCAACAATGCAAAACAAAAGGCGAGTAAATTTAAGCACTTGCGCGGGGGAGCATCCTCCGCTCCCCACTCCCCCTCCCTCCCCTGCCTGTTTATTTACACTGCCAGGCTGCGCAGTGAAGACGCGGATTCCTCCCGCGGAGGCTCCACGTAATTTACTTCACAAACGCGTTGCGCAAGAAGCACAGAGAAAATAAATAAATAAAAAGAAAGAAAGCAGCCGGCTTCGGGAGGACTTGGCGAGGGCAGCTTCCCACCTTCTCCCCTCCCTTCCCTCTCCGCTCCTTCCCCACCGGAGCTGACTCCGTGCCCCCAGCGTGGGCGCGCAGCGCATCCTTCAGCAGGTTTTAGCGAAAATATGGTGCGCGCCCGCATCTAGAATATAAATTTGCAGTATATGCCGCAGATACTAATTGCGGGAAGCCCGTCATTAAAGGCAGCATCTATTACGGCTTTTCCATGCCGAAATTCCCACTCGAAGGGAAGGGATAAGAGAAGGAAATATTGCTGAAATCGCTCGGTGCAACCCCTTTGCAGAAGTGCTCTGTGCATAGCGGGGATGGGGAGGGGGCGGGGGGGGGGGGGAAAAGGGCAGCGATTCCAGAAATTTCCCCCTGGAAAATGCTCCTGGCCCCCAGCGGCCCCG